ATGTGAGTACTCGAAGGCTTCACTTTATCCTCGTTAAAGAGGCACAACGCCTTATGGGTGTAGTTCGATTGATACTACTAGGATTCTATCCGAACAGTGCTCTATCTCAAGACCATGACAGTATCAAGTTTTCCCAAGATCTTTCATCTCAAATTTTGACTTCAGGTGTGCACTAGTTCTCTCAAGCTCTTCAGAAATTCCAATAAGATTCATGTCATCGACATAAACTATAACAATCGCAAATGCTCACTTAGACGGTTACACCACATTCTTCCAGATTGCTTCAAATCGTAGAGTGAACGCTTTAGCAAAATGGAAAGCATGTTCCATGGTCTAAAACTATTTGATCCAGTTAATGTAGGTCATTCGGAAACTTTCATAAAAATTTCCTTATCATGATCCCTATAAAGATACGTGGTTACTGCGTTCATAAGCTGCATACTCAGTTTTTTGAAAACTACCAAATTGATAAGGTAGCAAAAAGTAATCACATCCATAACGGGTGAATAAGTTTTGTCATAGTCAATCCCGGGGCATTGTGAGAAGTCTTGCAGCAACAAGACGAGCTTTGTAATGCACAATTTCATTCTTCTCATTACGCTTCCGAACAAAATCCCACTTGTAGCCAACAGGCTTCACATGTGGATAAGTAGGAGCTACGAGTCCAAACACCTTACGTTTCCAAGCAAATCGAGTTTGACTTGGATTGCTTGTTTCTAGTTTGACCAATCAGTTCTACTGTTAACATTCATTAACAGAATGGGGTTCAATGTTATCGCTTAGCATGATCTTAGTACCTACTACATACGCAAATGCATCATCAATTATCATTTCATTTCTACACTAAACATCATCCAAGTTAGCATAATGGACCGAAATATCTCGATTCTCGGGAGGTGGATTCATCTCTTCCAAGATGCTTTTGTAATTTAGAATTTTCGCATAAGTTGGATAGAATGAGTAGGCGATGGTCAGATTCACAATAGGCTCAATAGCATGTGTCGTGGATTTCCTCTTTCGGGGTTATGAATCTTTTGAACTAAAAGGTCTGCTGCATTTTTGCATGGGAGCAAAAGATTGGCTAGCCACTAATATACGTGGATCAGCCACTAGGGCGTCCTGAGCCTTTAGGAGGGAAAGTTCTTCATACATTTGGTACATCCATCTTTGCAGGTACATTTGTAATTGGTATGTGTGATCTTGTCACTTTTGCTAGATCTGTGAAAGCATTTGACATGCTCTAAGCTACACTCTGAAGATCTAATATGCATTGCACTTCAATTTCAGACTGAGCGGTGTGGGGATCTAAATGAGACAAAGTGGGAGTCGTCCATGATAATTCACGTCGCTCTTCAAGAACGGAGACGTTATTAACTCTCCCTAACGACGGGAAGGCTCTCTCATAGGATCGATAATCTACGAAATGAGCAATAAAAAGATCGTCTGTCAAAGATTCTAAGTAACAAATAATAAAAGGAGATTCATAACTAACATAGATTCTCATCCTTCTCTGAGAACCCATTTTGGTACGTAAGGGCAGCGCAATTGGTATATAAACCACACAACTAAAAACACGCATATACGATATGTGTAGTACGTATCCGATAACTAACTAAAAGGCGTTATATAGTTAGGTTAGGATGGGCCTCAAGCGGACCAACATGGCTGTGTGCAAGCATAGCCATAAGTAGCGATCAGGAGCTTGGTACGTATAACCAACAATCGAGCAATCATTTATAAGTGCTTAATGAATGTCTTTGCTGAGCCGTTCTGTGTGTGAACATGGCGTACTAGATGTTCAACTTCAACCCTAATCGACATGCAATAGTCATCAAAAGTTTTCAATGTGAATTCTCTAACATTATCTAATCGATTTGATCGAATAAATAGGGTGGTGATCCCTGAGCTTGTTAATCTGAACCACCAGGTTAGAGAGGCATCGTTTCTTGTAGACAACAAGTACACGTGTGACCAATGTGTGGAGGCGTTAACCAATACTATAAAATATCTAAATTGTCTGCAAGGAGGTTGAATCTATCCACAAATGTCCCCCAAAATTTTTTGTAGAAAAGTAGGAAGATTCGAAAGAATCTTTTCATAAGAAGGCTTAATGATAAGTTTTCACATAGAGCAGGTTTGACATGCAAGTCCCTGAATCAAACCTAAAATTAGGGTTAGTGAATGCCTGTGAGAGGATTTGAGGATACGATGCATCGCTATTCGTCCAGAGTGTCCTAAACGATCATGCCGAATGTGTAATTTCGTGCACAGTCCATAAGGTATGGTCGGCCACATAATAGCTCTCTATAGGGCTATGGTTGTAGTATACAGTCCACTCGGGATACGCTTTATCTTTTCCTGAATACGCTTCTCACCATATTTGTAGGAAGTGATGCACAACTCCATTTTCTATTTAGGTTTCAACGAGATGGTTATTGTCTAATTATTGTCTCGAATATCTTTAAAAACTCAATAACATTCTTCCGGAACATGGTCAAAATAATGCCGCTGGACAACATTATACAAGCCTTTCTATATCCTTCAATCAGGTTGGATGGACCTGAAAGGGTTGTCAAAGGTGCATTCTTAGGTACGAAGTTAGTGAAATAAATGCATTCACACAAAACGGTGTCGCGGTTGCACTATCTGCTAGTCAACTAACTTTCCCACTAGTCATACCTAGAAATAAAATATTTGAATCAGTCACATACATACGAAAGCTTAAATCCATTCAATTAAATTTTTTTTCGAGAAAAGTTTATGAACTTCAGGTTCATAGTGCGTGCAAACAAACGCAAATATATACAGAAATATGTAACAAATATATACAAGTAGGTTTGGAGGGCCTATGATTATAATTGAATTCAATATTTGACTTTGGGCCAAAATTAAGGGTTGGGTGAAAAAAATTAAAAACACCATAAGGCCTTAAAAAAGACAAATAAGACTATGTGATCCTTAATAAGGCTCTGTGGCCCAATAGGACCAAGGCCCATTGGTGGGCTTAAAAATTATTGTCGTGGGGTCCAGGCCCAAATCTGGGTTGGACATGAGGCGGGCCAAGCTAGGACAATAAACCCATGCTCACAGAGGTGGGCTTCAGACGAAGGCCTAGATGGCAGAGGCCCAAAAGAGGGCGCCAATACTATCCATTGCATACATGGATGCACTAGCACAGAGGCTAGGATCCAATGTGGTACTGTGTAGGGAATCGACAATAGCCACGCGAGTTGGGTTCCACTGCGGCGCCAGACACGGGAACACTAGAGCCCAATTGGGTTGGTGTCGTGTTGGTTGAGCGGGATAGGCGGCAACTCGCGAATGCAGGCCCAAAGAAAATTATACTGAAGGCGAGGTGATCTAAGCCCAAAGGGCCGTGGTTTTTGGTCCAATCAAGAATCCCAGCCCTGATGGGCGGGTTCACGGGGAAGAAAGCCGAAGCGTCACTTCTGGCAATTGTGTCTTGGTCGGGAAACCTTGAGAGTGAGTCGCAATGAATGGTGGTTCATCGAAGAACCAGTCTCAATGATGGAGGAGGATCCTCAACGTCCGGAAAGGGTAGAACCGAGAGGATTCGATTCGAGGAATCTTCAATTTCAATGAATTTCAATGGCAAATACAAAGGACGTCGTCGGAAATGACGATGTAAACCCCAAAGGGGTACAATTGCTGGTCGCCATGTCCAGAAAAAGAACGGCAAAGCTGTGGACTCGGCTTCCAGCGAGGCTAGGTTTTCTGGGTTGGGGGTGACGCCAAAAGCGTCGTTTTTTGGGTTTTCAGCACAGCAGAGCTGTGCTCTGTTGCATTGCAGCTCCGTGTCTTGGGTGGTGGCGCGGCTCAAGGTCTACAACTCGCTGGGTTGAGTTTTCAAAACCGTAATAATTTTTTTTCAATTTTTAATTCAATTGCAGATATAATAATTCACAGCAATAACACAATATCATTTCACATAATTCAACAAGATTATAATTATAATGCATACATAATTTATATAGAATTTAAAACGTAAAGTTGAGTTATATATTACGGTGAATGTTCATATTATTAGGACTGTAAAAATATAGAGGTAAAAACCGTTATTTGAAAAAAACCTGATTGCGTGATGATATTTATTAACTAGTTTGATGCAAAAAATTCTTTCTTTAATTGCGACCTTCCATTCCAAAGTTGGTACACGTTCAGCACAAGAAAAATAAATCAAATCAATAAAAGGATATGAATTCAATAAAATCAAAATTTAATCAATTAAGAAATAATTGAAACGTAATACTCTCCTGATTGAACATGAATAATTTCCACATCAGATTCCTAAGTCAAACGGTATGAGCTTGTTGATAACATGTTGTGGTTTATTTAATCTGACAAGGGAGAGACACATGTATTTAATTTGACAAGGGAGAGAGAGAGGGCGCGACAGAGAGAGAGTAGAGAAAGAGACGTGTTTGTAGGGTTTGTGTTATTCCTCTTACACAATACCTTTATTTATAGTAAGAAGGGAGGCAAGAATCCTTCTCTCCAAGGAAGACAATCCTAATAGGGAAGAATAAATAGTATCAAATCTAATCTAAAATTTACACAATCACATTTTAACATAATATCTATGACACTATTCTGATTTTTCAAATAATATTAAAGAGTTTACCATCCAAAAACACTTTCAAACCCACCCCCCCCCCCCCAACCTCCTTTTTTTTTTTTTTTTTTTTTTTTCTTTTTTGCAAACGGTGCTATCTGAAAACACTTTTAATTATCCGAAAGCAATTTTAGTCCTAATGGGAATCACTCTTGCAGAATCAAACAAAACAACTTTGCCAAGATCATTCCATGAGCACTCAGCCAGAATAATCTTATCGTAACAAAATGCGATAACTCTAATAATTCACAAGCATAAGAATCTATTCTTACCTTTTGTTTCTTTCCCAACTTTACATCAACACCCCAAAAATAATCAAGGGAATTCATCCCCTTTTTCCCTACTTACATACACACTCACACATATATACATGTAGCTGGGGGTGTGCCAATATAATTGCAGAAACTAAATACAAGTCCTTGATCATCAACCTTATTCCATGGCTCAGCACATCTCCCTCTCAGCAGAAACTGAGACACTGAGCCAAGTGCTAGGCCTAGTAGAAGCATTTAGAGCTTTTGATGCAGACAATGATGGCAAAATTACTGCTGCGGAGCTTGGTGGGATTTTAGGGTCACTTGGGTACAACCCTAGTGAAGAAGATGTGCGGGCAATGCTGCAGCAAGGGGACACGAACAAAGATGGGTTTCTGAGCATCGAGGAGTTCTTGGAAATGAACACGAAGAATATGGAATTCGGGGGACTCGTTAATGTTCTCAAGAACGCTTTTGAGGCGTTGGATGTCAATGGGGATGAGATTGTGACTGCAGAGGAGCTTTATGAGGTTATGGGAGATGATTTGGGGTTTGAGCTCACACTTGAGGATTGCGAGGGGATTATTGCTTCAATTGATATAGATGGGGATGGGGCTGTTAGCTCATGATGACTTCAAACTTATAGTCAACTCACTCTGAGATTTCTAGTGTTGTATGATCAAAAATATAATTATACTAGTGTCTAGTACGTAGTCAAGTATGTAATATGTCCAATCCCTTGTGAATAAATTGGCTGGCCCTAGCTTTTCTAGCACATATAAATTGGCTGGCCCTAGTTGTGACTTCTAGCACATTTTTCTACTGCAACTGCATGGTGCATGCATGGGCCCTTTTTTTTTCTAGGTGATTCTAAAGGAACCATCTACTTTAAGCATATTTTGTAGACTATATGACACAACAACCGGTGATTGGATTCCTTTTCTAATGTTTAAAGAAGCACCATCCTTGTTTAATGTTTAAAGAGGTACCATCAACCACATAATGTGGTTTACAAGATATGATACAAAAGGTATGAACCTTATCAGCTAACCAACTCTGATATTATATCAAAATTTTAGAGAGATAAACCACAATTGCCAACAAATAATCGGCATCAAATTAGCTGTCTCCAATTTGATTTCTTTCTTCACGTCTAAATTTTTAATTGTTTGACATTTGGTCATTTACGTACATTTTAGTGATAATCATGTTTACTTATAAGTAATAAATTTAAATTTAAATTTATGGATAGCTTAGGAGATATATAAGGTCGTTGGCTGGCCCCTAGTTGTTTTGGCTTTTCTTTTTTGGGACCTTGGCAGATAGGAAATTGGTTAGGGTTCTTGAAGAATTTCAGACTTCTACTTTAAGGTGTTTTCAATCTTTTTCTTCATAATAATATTAGTTTTGCTAGGGTGAGGCCATGAGCCTTAGCATGAATATGTAGTCTTTATTCAATTGCTTATAATATTATGCATGCATACTTTTATGCAACGGCCCCAATTTCTTGATGGGATTTTGTACCACCTGCAAAAATAGGGATAAAAATATTTAAAAATACTTGCAACAGAACAAGGTAATTGTAGTATAAACGGTTCAAGCAATGTCATTATCCATAGGGAGTGGATCAATAATTTGTATTTAAACCAATTCTTAATTAATTATTTGAAAAAAAAAGTTGGAAAAGGTTGATTTTGGGAATTTAAATTAAAAACAATTAAATAAATGGCAAAGTAAAATTAACTAAAAGGAAAACAGTTTTAAAAATCATTTTAAGCACTAGGGTTCCACCACCATCATTAACAATCCTATTCAATTTTACCAATTACTTATGAATTTCCACATACATGCATTGAAGGTTAAGTTTTCCTAATACATATTTTCCTCTTGATGTTCAAGCGAAAACCTATATCTAACATGCAACCTGTCTGTGATGTTTAAATCAAATGTAAATATTCAAGACTCATTAAGTTTTGTGAAAACCCTTTGAAAAACCATGCAACCCTTAAGAGCATGATGTTCGCCTTAAGTGAACTTACAATCACTAATCACAAAAAGCTCTCCTCAATTTCAGGGTGATGTTCCAACAGAAATTGCATCAAATTACTTGTCTAAATACCTTAATGGTCATGAATCATTAAGTCAATTAGATAGTTTAAACAAGGTGATTAATAATTCAAAGTAAGCATGCATAATCATAATAAAAACTAAAGAAAACATCATTAACTAGAAAAATGATTGAAAAAACCTTATAAGTAAAAAATCTGAAATTCTCCAAAGTTTGCTAAGTTATCTTAATGTCGCGTAGAGAACCCTAATGGCTAAATAGCCTTATTTATACTACTACAAATTAAAATCCTTGCTATAAAAGGTCTTCTAAAACTATGAAAAACACAATCCAAATCTGATAAGGAAATCTGTCCAGCAAAGAAATAGCCATGTTTCTAGACCTTCAGAGCTCCAAAACATCTTGAATTAAAGATTAGGACCACCTCTTCAAGTTCCAAGAAGAGCACAAGTTCAAAATTCATCATCTTCTAGCCCAAAAGTCATAAATAAGCTCTGCAACCCAATTTGTCAACACCGCACGCTAGGCATAAATCAAGGGAGATTATATTCATACACCCCAAATTATTTTTTTCACACCTTTTTAATTTTTTTTAATATTTTTCTATCAAGTGTTAGTAGTGTGTGGAAAATATTAAAAAATTAAAAAGGTGTGAGAAAAGTAATTTGGGGTGTGTGAATATAATCTCTCTAAATTAATTTGTCACGATCAGATGCTTTGAAATAAAATTATGAAATTTTGATATAACCTTCTTGGCAAAATCACGAACCCACTCCAATTGGAATCACTCAAGAATTCCACCGCTTGATTACTTTATGCCCAAAATGGATTCTCATGTCCTATATTGAAAATACATAAAAAAGAACATCAAAATCTCACCAAAATATACCAAGAACAGAAAAAAATATATATATAATATAAAATTGATTCATCATAGATGACAAGTTCAATATCAATTTCTATTAAGTGTAAATATATCATTTCTAAAAAGGTACAAGAAATTTATAATAAGAAGACGTAAAAAAGCAATCTATTGAAAAAGAAAAATAAAAATTTTAAAAAACCCATCGCGTGAACCACACACAACCCACTATCCACCTATACTCCCACCACTGCCACTCCTTCTCTGACCGGTCTTCCCTCAAAATTTGGGCTCATTAGTAGAAAAACCTATTTCGGCAATGAAATGTTGCGTGATGAAGGAAATCTCGTCGTGCAATTGTGACCAGCGCGACCAATTCAGTGCACAATCGTGCAAAAACATCTTAAAAAAATAGTAAAAAAAACTTGTGCGACGAAGAACTGCATTGCGCAAGATAACTTGGCATGACAAATGCATGCATTTGTCGCGCAAAGGCATAGAAAAAAAGTAGAGAAGGTTAGTTTTTGGTGCCAAAAACTCACGCGACGAACATTTTCCCGCTACTATCTTGTTCAACGACATCTCGCTGCTCGAAGTGATTTAAGATGGCAAGTTGAACGTTTCAGCTAAGATAATTACTGCAACCTTTACGTGATTGAAGGTTCATCGCACAAAGGTCCCATTGGTACTATAAATTGACAGGTTCTCTCTCCCTTTTAAAGTTCATCCCTTCCCCTAACAATTTTCGTCACTGAGAGGAGGGATTTTGCACGTACTTATGAATAATTGGGTATTTCTTATATTGCCAATTAGTTTTAATTGGACTATTCCCATATTGTGTAAAGCTCAGTTGTCACACATGCTCCACGTCATCCGATTAGTGTTGCCAACGTGTTACGCTTGAAAATTTGTCACACATAAAGAGGCGTGTTGTGGATGATCCCACATTGACGGGATGTGGGATCTTATATGTGTTTATAAATAATTGAGTTACTTCCCATACTGCTACTGCAAATTAAAATAACTATTAAAATCATGCAAAAATCACTCTAGTGGCCACGGATGGAAACGTGTCCACCCTTACACCAAAGTAACAAAAATAGAATGAATTAGAGTAATGGTTTCTGGAGGACAAAAAAACAAACATGTATCCACTGTTAAAATAACAATGGCATGAATTGCAGTTTCTGCAATCTGCTGTTACATGCATTGATGATCAAGTTGGCGAAGGTAATTTGGTCCATTTGAACCTGCATTAATCTCTCAAATGATTGGTAAGGACTCAGGTGAGAACCGGGGCTACGGTTAGTAGAACAGTTATTACCTTCAATGATAGGGAAATTGTTATTTTTGGGTCGTTCAAACTTAACAATTTTGGTCAAAAGAAGGGTATATTTTCAGAGTTTCATTTTTTCTTTCGTTGATGAGAGTGATATTATAAATGGAAGAAATTAAATAATTTTTCTTATTTCTTAATAGTTATGTTCACGACGTATGTGCATCAACTCAAACACAACAAATTAATAGATCAGTTAGATTATTTATGGGATAAAAGCTTTCCATAAGCACAACCCTAATTTCCCTTCTGCATTTTTTATTGTCATCGATGGATCTTGCAACTAAGAAATTAGAAATACGTTTTTTTATATCCTCAAACACAAGCTTGTTTGGTGTTCTCATATGATTTATTCTATTAGACGATTAAAATAAATAGAAGGTATGTGAGAAGTTAAAATGGTGCATGAAAATCATCTCTCTTCCACCTAATAACCACCAAACATTTGGTTGTAGAAAATGCTAAAATTGTTGAATCCCACATCAGCCAAAGGGAAAGAAGAATAAGAGTTTAACTAGGATTACCCACTCTAATTACTACCAAGGTCTTTTATGATAAAACCCCACACCTAACGGATTGGGCAAATGGTAATTACCAAATTGAAGATAATATCGATGTTATTGGAGTGAGGCTCCCGATCCGTCGACCTGAAAAATTCAACATAGTATCAAAGCCAAGGGACGGGCTTGTATTGCCACGTGATTGGGTGGGTCCTCTTTGGCACCGCATGTTGGGTGGGTCTTCTTTGGCACCGCATGTTGGGTGAGTCCCAAATTGGCTCCAAGTGTTTGCCGATATATGGATCTTCACGTGTGACCCACTAATTGGGGTCTCACGTGTTGGGGCGTGTTAAATCCCAAATTGGCTAGAGGGAAAGAAGAATAAGAGTTTAAATAGGATTATCCCACTTTAACTAACATAAAGGCTTTTTGTGATAAAATCTCACACCTAGCGAATTGAACAGATAGTAATTACCAAATTAAAAACAATATCAATACTATTAAAGTGGGACCCTTGACCCGTCCACCTGAAAAACTCAACAGAAACCTTATTATTTCTGACTTAGCTAGGAATGAATGATTTGAGTATGGTTGTAGAAAAAGGGCCATAATTGACAACTTTGAACCCAGAAGCAGAAGGGCACTTTAGACAGACAATGAGGTTTGAGAGAGAGAGAGAGAGAGAGAGAGAGAGAGAGAGATGCATTTAGCATTTAATGCTTGTGTACGAGAGAATAGAGAAATTTTTAATTATGACGGGAACACGGATGATACATCATGTGTTTTTATATAAGTGGTGGAAAATTTTAATTTTTAAATTATTAACCGTTTAACACATATATTCCATCATTTATATAAGAACATGTAATGTATCATCTCGTATGACGATCACACTGAAAAATCTCCAGAGAGAATGATGGCCTTTCGTTTATGCATGCATTGGCTTTGACCAACTCCAAATCAATTGGTATCTGAGTTTACCCAGTACGTGCAGCGAGCAAAACATGAAGGATTTGTTGTAGCAGTTTTTACCATTTTTTAGC